ATATATATATATATATATATATATATATATATATATATATATATATATATATATATATATTGGCCGCAGATATATATATATATATATATATATATATATATATATATATATATATATATATTATCGGTATTTATATATATTTCCAGGTGACGGCTAAAAATAACTTAAAGTGCGTTTATCACTTGTGGGATGTTTACGAATTCGAATGGGGCTTGAAAATTTGTTTATAAGTCTACAACCATTTTTTATAATTATATATAATTAAATAGTTTCGAAAATACGTCGGTTGGGGGGGACTGGGACTCAGGAATGATTTGCAAACACGCCGTCTTTTATAATGTAAACATGAAGAGTTTCACTGGCGATATAGTTTGCGCTTTTCAAGAAAAAAATGCGGGAACGGTGCGTTGTGTATGGCTGTAGCAACTGGGCGAGTTTTTCTCAAAATATTTTACGTTATTGGAAGATTGAAGTAAAATTACAAAGAACTCGGTTCCTGAGTTCCAGGCCCCGAGCCGACGGAAATTTAGGCAAATCGTCATGTTTAGATGTAAAGATTTCCGAATGTATTTAACTTTATCAAAAAGGGTTGTAGAACTTATAAACTAATTTTTCAAGCTCTATTCAAATCTGTAAAGATCTCACAAGTGATATAGGCACTTTAATTAATTTGTCAGCTGATCAGATGACCTTTAAAAATGGTTGGCTCACTTTAACTTGCATTTTCTGTGCAAATACTTGGCTGATTTTAATAAAAATTAAACCATTTAAAAGAGGACATTGTCCTCAGTAGATAGATGTTTTTTTTTAGTTCTATATGTTTCAAATTCGCTAGGATATTTGCTTTAGAATGCATGCGATTTGGCTAATTTTCGATATTATACCTCAAAGCGGCCTAATCCTTAGAATATTGCCCAAAACGCAAACGAAAACTGGTTACCGTGATTTAGTTCACATTTCTAGGATCATTTTGATATATTTAGCTTCAAAATGGTGCCTTTAGAAGATTTTTGCCGATTTTTTACATAAACATTCATAATCTGCATTATGGTATGTATTATCGCATCGCTCACGGAAAGCATTTCACAATAATAAAAAATTCACCAAAAATTTCGGGCAAAAAAAGCCGAAAAACGGACCCCCTGGTCCAATTTTACGCCAGGAATCGATTTTTGGGGTCAAAATTTGCCTAGGGGGTGGGCATCACAGACTTTTGTCACATTTTTGAACCGCGTGACAACATTCCGAGCAAGCGCTAAACACGCGCTTAGCAACGCTCATCAAGGCTCATCGCTTAGCTCTTAAAATGGCTTATTTCTCCGATTCTCTAGCACATCCTAATCTAAAAACATCGAAGTTATAACAGAATGGATAATAGGCAAAATTGAGACAGTCTAAAGCTAACAGAGAACAAAATAAATTGACAAACATGGAATTTTGAAAAGTATATGGTTGCCATGGGCATGTAATTTGAGATAACAACGCAAGCTACTATTTTGGCTTATATTACAAGTGCGGCTTAAAACTATCTGCGGATTTGAATATAGCATTTATATGATCTCTTCAAGCGCTATCATTTGGTGGTATTCCGGTATCTTTAGCTTAAATACTTGCGGAGATATTCAATTTAAGCTAGGGTCCCTTCTATGACACCCAAACATAGGACCTGTCCATAAAGAGTTTTAACCAGGAACCATACAGGAAAGGCACGGTTCATTTCATTCTATATTACATGAAGTTGAACAATATAAACAGGATTAGGATTGACGATAGTTTTTTTATTCGCTGTCCAAATTGCTCGCAGCAGTGGCGGATCTAGGGGTGAGCAGAATAAATTATGACTGCTTAAAATCGCAATCGAATTGCCAAATTTTAATGTAAAAATACTCTTTTCAAATCTATAACCAATAGCGTTGTTATTAAGGTGATTTGATTTTTAAATGAAGCTGTGTAAATTATTCTGCACACCCCTAGATCCGCCACTGGTTCACAGTGTTACGAGCGCGGTCCTATAAACTTTATTAATACTCGCTGTTGCATGCATGATTCTGTTTCGCAACAAACTCAGTGTGTCAATTATATTTATATAACTACAATAACGGGAATTAACGTCTCTATAATAAGCTTATATGTTTGACTTATCTCTGTCTGAGCACAAGTCTTATCGTCAACTTTAACTCCTTTTGTTTATTACTTTTGCTTTTACAGTATAATATTTAGGCACGGAAGCCTTACGAAGAATGCTATACGCATTACAGTGCGTTGTAGCACATGCATGCTATCGTGGTTTGTGGTTGACATCTTGTTACGTGTTTGTGGGATAAGCTAAGGTGTGGATAGCTATATGCTTATACTCATTCATGTAAGCCTGACCGAAGAGAATGCTATATGGTTATATGAATATAATATATAAATGGTGATAAGATGATATAGTGATTATACGTAATAACTGTCTTCAATAATATTTACCACTGGTAACTGTTACATACAATAATATAGT